CGTTTGACGTGAAGAATCGCCTCTGTACATTACGGAATTATACTTCGCTGAAGTTGTTCTTTTTTTTTTTTTTTTTTTTTTTAGTCTCGTGCGGGAGAGAATTGCCGTGCGGAGAGAGAAAACTTACTTGGTCTCGTCGATGAAAACAGCCTCGAGTACGCGGGCTGCGTAGTGCAAGTTTCGTTGGAGCAGTTCGGCGGATATTTCCCCATGTTGTAGCTGCCTCAATAAACACCTCAATCTGCAAAATAGAGAGAGAGGGAGAAAGGAGTATCGCGCGGGAGTTTGTTCCCTGCGCGCCAATAACATGCCTTTCTGAACTAGACGTTTGCGTCCAATCGCTTTCCGATAATTGCGCGACAAGTCGAGATTGCTAACGCAATTCTAGTTAACCCTTCGAAAGACTCAAGGGAACCTCGGGGGATATTTTCCCCACTGGCACGCGTGCGCCCCATTCTGATGTATTCGCGCGTTATACAAAGTATTCAGCGCGCGCGCGAGTAAATTAAACTGCGAATATAATATACGCTCGCGCAGCAAAATATTGGATCATTAAATATAAAATTTGACAAATATATATTATATAAATACTTGACATAAATAAATAAATAAATATATATATACATATATATATACATATATATATATATATATATATATATACATACATTTGTCAAGTTTCATACTTAATGATCCAATATATAAATGCGCGATTCTCATTATTAATGTTCGCGACTGACAGACAATTTACAGAATCCGTACGATATCGTCGGATTTAACGCGGGTTGATGAATAATTCTAGGAGAATAATTATATTTGTGATATGCTCTAATTGCATTTTCGGATAATATAAATTAGATAGTCGCGCGTACGATGCATTAATATTGACGCGACAGACTTGATAAAACACGACGTGTGCGTGTGCTCGCGCGGATTTGTAAAATTACACCAATTTATGCGACATGAAATTTTCAACAAAATCGGTTTGTCAGAGAGAAATTGCGAAATTAATGTCTCGTCCGTGTGTGTTGTACATTTTTATTATCTAACTGAACTTTTGTGTGTACGCAAAATCCTTCACAAATCAATTCTTCCTTCGTCTTGTATTATACGAACTACTATCGCATTTATAGCGCAAGAGAGCACGTCGTTGTCATGTATTTGTGATACGATACCTGAGAGCAGCTTTGTCGCAAGCGTCGGGGGTGTCAACGGCAGGAAGCGAGTCCGTCGTGAGATCGACATTATCGAGAATCGAATCGTCGAGGTCGACGGATTGATACGTCGGGGTGTCGGGATTGTGCGGCGGCGGGGAACTTTCTAAACTCCCGCCGGTTTTGCTTTTGCCGGAGCTTCGGCGTACTATCGTCAAAGTGCCTTGCTCTGCAACACAATGGACAACATAATCGCTCCAATTAATGTGATTGAATGAGAACGCGGCGTTGAATCAACCCCCTCCTCCCCCCTCATTCGAAGAAATCGCACTTTTCGGCGCGCGGAGATAGATTTGCAATAATTAATTTCTCCCAGTGATTAATAGCGATAGCGACTTTTTTTTTTTACATCAACGCAAAATTTCGTTCCTTGAAGAATACTCCGAGAGTTCGCTCTCGGTGCGAACACCTCGTTTCGCGCGGAGTACTTACAGCTGTTATTATAAACCACGCGAAAATATCTGATACGCGTCAAAGGCATCAGTTATTTTCTAAGAGATCAGTTTTTTTTTCGTAAAAAGTGAAAACATTTAATGAGAAAACAGAGATTTACAACTTTTGTGGTGACGTAGCTAATACACGCGCAAAGTGCGGCGAACAATTTTTCAAGAGAGAGATACCTTTTCTTTTTTCTTTTATTTGAAAAAAAAAGAATATTTACAGAGAGATACGCGAATATCGGAACGTCACGGGAACAAAATCAGATTTCGAACGACATACTTATGCGAACATGTCATTTCGTCGTCAAATGTGATCCGACAGTCCGAGGCGGTTATATCTCGGGGAGAGAGTAAATACCTCGAAAACTTACTGGAGAGTTGGCCGTTGCGTCCGGGCGAGGAGGATGAATTGCGCGGTCTCGAGGACGACGACGACGACGACGACGACGCGCAGCCGATAGCGGCCGCATTGTTCGCGTTTGCCGCTGCACCGGCCGAGGCCACGCCGATATCATCCCTCGTGACTCGTCTGTCCGGCGGGGATGCAACTGCAACAAGAAGAAAAAAAAACAAAAAGTTAGCGCACGGCTCCGTCAATCATTGCTCAGTTAGCATTTTGCTATTGTTATGTGCTAATAAAGAGAGAGAGAAAAAAAGAGAGAGGAAATGCACACGATGCACTTGTATGCATTCGTCAATCAGTGCAACTCGTGCGGATAATTACTCAATAACGGATTTTTCAACGAAAATTCGAAATTTTTCTTTCGACCGTATTTCGCGTGCAGATTCGCGCGTCTCGGAGCGTCTCTTCGTCAATCAAAGACGTGTAATAAAGTTAGAACTGCTGTGTATTTTCGACGATTACACACATTGATTATGTGTGAGACATATTGTAACGCGTATATTGATACAATTATATAACAGCGTCTCGGTCTGTTATCTAGTAAAAATTTTTGCGGGACGTGATATTTCAAATACATATCTATTATATAGCTTTCTCACGTCGATAAAAGTCTGTTTAGTGCGCAGTTTCCTACACGTTGTGTAGGTGAGATTTTACGCGTTTTCTCCCATCTCTTCGCGCGCTGAGAAAATACAGAAGTGTTATAATCGACTCTCAAGTGCCGGTCTTATTACACCGTCTATAAATATCCTACCGTAATAAAAAAAAAAAAGGACTGCAGAGGAAGAGAAAAGTCGGACATCACGAGCGAGTCGGATATTCAAACGTTAACGGGACATTCCCACACCACACGGAGATAAGACGCGGAAAAAAACGCGTGTTATTTAAAAATTTTTACCGCGCGTGCGCTTGCTGGAAATCCGGTCAGAGAAAGATGAGATGACGGTGCGGGTTGTCGATAAATTTGAGTATTTTCCGTTACACGTGGCGCTCTGCATATTTTACGCCCGACATGGGCGAGCTCGTGTCGCGTTTAACGTAATTAGCACGTGTTACGGCGGGACGCGCCTTGCGTTGCGTCGCGGCGCGCGTAATGGCCGGTAAATGCAATATTCACGAAATCAAACGCAATTCGTCATCATGATTATATTAATTTGTCGCGATTGTGATATACTACAAAGCGTGCTAAGGCACGTATCACCACGCGGCGGCGGTGGACAAAACCGCGACGGAGTCCGAGAGAGCTATCGATCGTCGGCATCTGTCTATAGTCTGCGAATTAGTCTCATAGCCGATCGATCGCGTTACCGAGCTGAGGTCCGCATTATGCTAATCACAAGTTGAAGTGTTTCTAAGCGCGAGGAGGAGCATCCACCTTGTAAGAGATCGCTGGTACGGAAAATAAGAAATGAGATTGCCGGTTTGTGCAATAACACAACTGAATAACAAAATAAATATGTCAACATGTATATTTTATTTATAAAGATGTGTAGGATAAATACCGCGCGGTCGGCGAGGGAGAATCGAGCTCTGAACATATTATAAAGCGAGAAAGCCGAATTCGCGGAAATTCAACCACTTTTCACTCTCTCTTTCTCTGTGTAAAATCCGCGCACAGTTTCTACATACAGAGAAAATAATATCATTTGGACAGTTAAACCGGAGAGTGATTAATCAAATGCGGTATATATACGTTCCCGTTTCTATCACACGCGGCAAGTTTATGCTGAATCCGCGGCAGATTCTAAAACGCAATTATATTCGTATATAATACAGCTCGCAGTTAATCAAACGGCATTGTTTTGCGGCGATCGTCAGTCGCGCATATTCCTCGCTGTTTGAAACAAATTACCTACGTTATTCTCCGTATGTTTAACACACAGAGATTGGGTTTTTTAAATCTTTGTTTTTTCTTCCTCGTTATCGCAATTTTATTTTGTTTATCGCGTAGCGCAATTCTTAGTTAATGTATTCTGGCTATTTGTCTAATATTGAACAAATTAAGGTTTCCCGGCAAAAGTTTCGGCGCGCGCGAAAAACGCGATATCGTATCGATCAAATATCGCCGGAGGAAATTTCTCTACCCATTCGGCGATGTGTTCGATAACACGTGGCACAACGCGCGCGCGTTTAAAGGGCGCGTTGTTTCGACCCTAAAAATAATCTCTCAATCTTGCAAAAGATATGAGGAACTAAATTGGAACGGTAATAAGTTACCGCCTTTTGTGTGTCCCGAAGGAGAAAAGGTTTACGCAGTGGTGGTACGTGTGTTTCTCACTTTATTTATGTAACGACCACATCCCTTCTGTTGCACGCTCGCGGCGAGAAGCCAAAGCAGCGTCGAGGGAGAAACGTGAAATTTTCTATAATTACGTATTCTGTGTAGTACGGCTTTCTACAATAAAATGTGAGAACTCGTACATTTACACACGCATCTCCAGTTGTGTCTAACGCGACCGATGGTTTAACGCAATAAAAATATGCAAAAATCGCCAGGTGTCACCGAGGTTAAATCGATACTCGTGGGAAAGTCGACACGACGCTATATATATTCGTTCGTTCATAATCCCGCGGTTTTTTAAAAAAAAAAAAAAAAAGACAGGCCGAAAATTTGTATTCCATTGATTGATTCTGCCTGATAAATTGACTGAGGATATTTTTGAGAGGACTCGTCACACCGCACGCGCGACCGCAAGAGCGATTTTATTTTGACGAGCGATTAATATACGTCAGAAAGAGAGAGAGAGAGAGAGAAAGAGAGAGAATATACGTCGCGCGCGCAACTGTAACAAAATTAATGAACAAAATTTTGTCCGGTTGCGAGATATTCCCGCGCAATAATCTCTACACGCTCGCAAACGCGGGTATTTATTTTCGAAATAATAAAATTCGCACGGAGCGCTATCACTTTTCCCGAAGGCCTTCAAACGCGCCGACCTGCCGGTGCGAGTGCTGATGTGTACGGGCACGATGGGGGGTTTATGAAATTATTCGCACTAAGCGGATAAGCAAACAGAACAGACGCAAACGCATAACGGTACGTATGTGTATAAATTATTGCGTTTCCCATTGAATAATGCACGAGGGTTGAGAGACAATATAGCGCATACATGTGTGTATGTGTTTGTGTGCGCGCGTTTTCCAACGCGCAAAATAAAATTCACACATTGGCGTTTCATTTTAATTTCAATTTTTATTTTTGCCGACATATAATATGGGCGCGCACGCGCGCGCGTATTCGTCCGGGAAAATCTCGTGTTGGATTCAATCGATTCAAATGCACGTTTCGTCTCGGTGTGCGTTATAATCTATAACTGCGTTTACTCGCGGGATACATCTCGAACAAGATAAAATTGGCCGTGAGCGATCGGGAAGAGAAAAACGATCGGGCACGAAATTATGAAATATATTTTTCGCAAAAGTGAGTTTCGGAAACGTGATTGATTAGAGTAGATAAAAAAAAAACTGTACAAAGTACAGATTTCTGGTTGGAAATAAATAAAAAAAAAAAATTATAACTGAAAGTAAAGAAGATTTAATTCAAAAAAGGCTTGTTTTTTGTTAAGAAAGAACATAACTTCCGTAATCGTCGGAATACAAGATTCACGCGCTTTTGAGCGATAATAATAAATATATAAACTTTAATTTCGAAAAATTGGAGGATCCTAAACCCGAACAACAATTCATAATTTACAACATTATCTTCATTACGTCAAGACGTCACGGCTTTAATTAATGTTGCAATAAAGGCTGTGCCCGCCTTCTAACGAAGATAACATTATTATTAATCGTTGCGTAGCACCCTCCGATTTTATTCTCACGCTTTGTATTTAGCTTCGCTGTATGTATATTCAACATTTCTGAAAACAATTACCCACCTGTGCGCACGTGCGAGAAACAGAGATTTTTAAACGCTTTATCGCTATCAATCACTTTTACAGTAATTAGATAGAAATATTTTTGCATAAAACGAGTTTTGTTTATCGATAAACACGACGGTTTTTTTCCTCGTCCTTTTTTGTCCGGAAGACAGTAATTTTTTTTTTTCAATATTCAAACATTCTCCGTGTGAACTCGTTACACAGTAATATGTCTGACAGGCAGACGCGGATGAGAACTAATTTATTCGACGAAATCAACTAGATAGAAACTGCCGCGCGCAAAACACGAATAATGTGGTGTAATCAACCTGTTAATTGCCGTCGTTATCCACAGAGCGCGTTTCTCTCGTTCCGGCGCCATTGGTGATGTAACGCAAGAAGAATATAAACGCCGCATAGTATATATGTGTGTTGAAATGCGTGTAGAAACGCCTGACGATCCGTGAGATATCGTCGTCGTTTGTGCGAGGGTTCCAACGCGTCACGCATCCGCGTCTCTCGATTGTCGTCGGGCGTTGCGTCATTTCAGAGATGCATTAACTTAATGAAAACTATCGCGCCCACCTCGACTTGTGTATATGTTAGACGAAACACACCCCCCAACGCTCAACTCACAACAAACATCGCAAAATATATTTAACGATCGGACGGACGATAATGTAAAAAGCAAATGAATAAAATTTGTATATATTTCGCGCGAAGAGAAACTGACATCAAGTAAGTTTGGATTTTGACTTTGTTTTTTTTTGAAAACGTTTCGAAGTTGCGACGGTTCCGGCGCGGTTTACTTCGACGTCGACGACTCTCTCTCTTTTCGATCGCGCTGTAATAAACGACACTTGTATTACGCGCTTCACACCGGTGCGAAACAAAACAACAAAGTTTCTGACGTGGCGCGCGTCATCGCGCGAAAGCGCATTCGTTATTAAATTTCCACAGCGCGACTCGAGGAAACTGCATTTTCCGAAAGACGCGAAATTCTGTTAAGAATCAGAATACAGAAGTAGCGGATCTCGGTGACGAAGATTGTTTTGCATGCATCGAAGTGTCGAGGAACGTGTCAGATTTCAAGGAGAGATAATTCTCTTTCTCACAAGAGCGCTCTCTCTCTCTCTCTCTCTCTCTCTTTACGTAATATAATATCTAATATAATCTCAACGTTATATATATATATTGCGATATCATTAACCGCAAATGCATTGCAAAGAAGGTCGATATTTAATCGACTTGGGATTCGAAGACTGGCTTATTTGGGCGTAAATAC